TGGACGAGAAATGCTGGTTTGGGAAAACAGCACATTTTTGCCCTAAAATTGAAATAAGCTACCGGGAATCGGGAGACTAAAAGACACCTTTCAAGTAAACTAGAGATAATATCTCAGTACCTGTTCATAACAGTATCAGACAGTTTCACAAAACTTGAGAGAAGGGATTAAAAAATTTACGATGATCCGTCTACATCCGGGTACTCCTCAAACAGCATTTACGATTAGAATTGTCACCCTACGCATCCCCGTGATATGGAACAAATGAGCTTATAGTCATGCCATGCCAAACGATGCAAATTAAACAAACGTGCAAAAATTCTTAAGTAAGGCACTTTCCTTAAAGACAACAAATGAAAAGATTGTTCCAGTTCAGTAAATCTTGCCACCTTTTACTGGGGATCCCTGTTTCATGCAGAGCAGTTTGTCTACTACGTTAGTGGTGCGTGGCAGCGCTTCCTCCAGAGCCTGGGACTGTTTCCTGCGCATTTCACGCTGGTCCCGGATGTCCTTCCTCTCCTGCAGGAACTCGACCAAGTTCTCCTTCTCCAAGGCGCGGCGAAGGTCATCTACCAACTGCGTGACGAAGAAATGAAAGATGCAGCGAGGGACTGTGTCACACACGTTCATTTTCAACACGTTGAAGCATCGAACTACGTTCCTTTTTAGATTCTTCATATCCTCAAGTTCCTAAATAACAAAAAGATAACATATCCTCATTACTAGTGTCTCAGTTCCTAAAAAAAGCAATGTTATGGTTAATTTACAGTTTTGCAACATATTGTAATTGGCTGAAGAAAACTGGTGCAAAATGTATGCACCAGCTGTTCGGCAGAGGGTCCCCCCATCTACCAGCAACGCACCAATCCAGTTATTTGACACCAGAGAAACTATGAATAAATCAAATGGCATTTGTTGTTTAAGAAGCAATACGAAACTGTACACAATAAATCTTGACTCATAACTACACAATTTGTTGCATAGCTGTCTTAGACAGTCCTTTAAAGAGGATGATGACAAGAATTATAATCGGATCTATCTAGTCCGGCGCTGCTCACCTGGACACACCAAAAAATTCTGGGCCTGCTTCTCCAGCCTGTTGAAACTGGCTAAACCAGATAAATCGATGTCTTGGAAAAATAAAATCTAAACTGAAATAGAACACCCCGTCCCTGACTAAGAAAAGAAAAAAAACTTTACCCTGTACAGTTCCAAGTGCCCATAATGGAACCTTCCCATACGCCCATGTTATATGCTCACCTTGTGGTTTACAAACGCAGTATGTGCGGAACTGCTGCCGTGACCTTCAATCTCGGTTACCAGATGCCGAGGGTAGAGTTTTTCCGCGAGGTGCTCCATGTGATTCATTGTTTTCGATGTCATGCATGGATGAGTCTTGCTAAGGCCTTCCCTCGTAGTCAACTTCTGCGATTTCCACTGATCTATTTCGTCTGGCGTGGGGATTGGTGCAAACACCACGTCAATGCTTTTCTTCTGCATTTCCAGAAACTGTCGGATGAACTGAATGGTCTGGTCGCGTTTGGTTTCAAAGATTTTGTTCACAACTTTCGCTTCGACTGCTGTTTTGAGGGTGGGAAACTTGGACAGGCAGCGCTGGATGGTCTTTTGAACGATGTTCCGTAGAGTTTCCTGGACATTTTCAACCAGCTTCTTTGATATGGGAAACAGTTGATCAATAGGGCTGGCCATGGAGACTGGTTTACGGTCTTTCTGGTGATATCCTGCAAACACATTAAAAAATACTAAGATATAGTTGGAAAGCAGAGAAATACAAGGAAACATTGTCTCTGACCCTTTTATTGATAATATATTCCCCCCTTTATCTATAAATAGATTTAAATTAGATTCAGGTATTCTAATTTTTAAACTCTTGCAAATTTTCTGCTCTTGTTGTTTTAGGGAGTTCCATAGATGCAGAGCTACTATGCAGCTCTGCTGTAAAATAGCTATTTTTGTTATCATTAGTGTTGTTGTTTTTAGTATTGGGTCTTGGAAGGAAACAATAGTCCTGTCTACCAAGTAACAATTTCGCTGTTTTTTTTCCACAGTTCAGGTCAGTGGTAATTGTATAAGTCATAAAATGAAACGGCTATTGACTTGGCGGGTTACAAGGATAAAATACTTATCTACTGAGTTGGCCACTGGGTTTGCTATGGGATAAAGCACTTATTGACCGAGATGGTAAAAAGATAAGAAAAATCTTGATCGAGTTCTTTGTTACATAAAATACTTAGCGACTTACGAACGTACTTAAACCTACTTTACATACCCGTCACATGTTTCAAAAGTTACCCGCACCTCTGGTGGTATGTTTTGTACCTGTGTAATTCTCGTAGAGCAGCTTCTGCAGTAGCTGACTGTTTTCACTGCCCTCTCCTAGCGGGGCGGCCACACCCTCCAACCTCCTTTGTTCTGTTCTTATGTCGTCATCATTGCGCATAGCCAGAGGATCAACCTTGACAAGACATAGTGAGCCATAATTAATAATGTCTTAAATAAAAGCAACTCATTCTTACTTAAGAGGAAGTGTAGCTTAATGCATGGTTAGCGCGTTGGACACCAAATTGAGACACCCCCGCCCTGTTTCGGGGACTCGGAGCCCCGCCTTGGGTCTAGTTGTGTTGAAGGAGTATAAATGGCTACCGGCAACCTGACACGTAGCACAGCTTATAATGGACTAGGATCCCATGTAGGATTAGCAGGGAATACGAGTTGAGCACCGGCCAGCAAAGCCACTTAGAATAGTAAACACACTTTGTAAGCAACCATTGCTTCGTTGACTCAAGAAAGATTATGAAATTACTGATAATCTTAGCACAAATTCCTTTATTTGTCGGAACGGAGGGGAGGTTTGGGAGCGGGTTTGAACTGCGTGTTGTATAGAGGGATGACTTTCGGTTGCCCTTAGCAGGGTGAGACTTTGTTAAGTCAGCCTTCTCCGTGAACAGAAGTCAAGCTCATTTTCTTTTTCTTTGTTATGGACCAACACTGGTTTTCGTTTTCTTTTATTTCGTTAGTGCTGTTATATAGAATTAGATCGCTGTAAAATCCTCTATTTATATCACCAAGTATTTGTGTACAGTACGTTAAATTAGGAAACCCTAAAGCCCCTTGGTCAGGGGCACACACTCTCTCTTTTCTTTTCGTCTGCTGTTTTTCAGGAGTTTTCGTGTCAGGCTTTGTTGTACTTATTTTTCATGATCCTGTCATAGTTCGCGAATCTTTGTAACTGTTGAGATTATTGAATAAATGGCACGGCGGACATTGTTGGAAGACAAAAATTATATCTTTTTACTTGACGTTTCGTATGTTTCAACGTACATCTTTAGAAGTGACCGTTGAGAAAAGAAGTAACAACTAAATTGAATTAATATTTGAGGTCGGAACTGTGCCTCTTCACCTTTGCAAACCAAACTCATTGAGTAAATCAAATCGAAAAAAAAAAAATGAAAATATAGTCGTATCAGTTGAGTTACAGTACGATAATCTTTTTGACAAGCTTTCAAATTGCGCTCTAACACAATCTTACGTCACTAAATTGAAGAAATTCATCCACTGTACATACCTACTTCAATAACCCAAGTTAGTCAGTGTTTTCTCACCTGGTAAACGGCCTCACAGAATGAATTAAACAGCTGTCTCACGTTTTCGCCTCCTTCCATGTCGGAAGTATTGTTAAAGAGAAGTTTCTCCAACTCTGTGATGAGGTTTTGCTTTAGCTTCATCGCAACCGCCCCTTTTCCCTCGTCCGACTCAGGGACTTCGCTGTCCTCAAGTTCTTTCAGCGTTTCATCCACCTATTTCGATTGGAAAACAGTTGCCATGTTTTGTAAGTGTTGGAGAGAATATCGGAGAGGTTTGCGATTTCTTGAATACACTGTAGTTAATAGTAGGAAAAGTTATAACGCGTGTGACTCCGAGTTGTGTTCTTGGAAAGACTCTCAATTCTTACGGTGTCTCTCTCTACCCAGGAGTATAAATGGGTTCGGACGAATTAATAACTATATGTTATTGAACTAGCGTGAGCTAGAGGTTGAGGTTGAGGATGAATTTAACGACTGAGCAGCTGCTTTGTTGTGAGTTTACGCTAAAATCAAACAATATGTTGACCTAATGCAACAAAAGTATATTTTGCAACATACCATGCAAAACTCTACTAAACTAGAATTTTTCAACACTTTTAAGAACGATTACACACCCTCCTCTTAAGTAGGCCTAACGAGCAAACAAAGCGAAAGAAAAGAACTAGTGAAATTTAGGATAGACAATCACAAACTAAGGATTGAGAATGGTAGATATGATCAAACTCCAAGGGTTAACAGACTCTGCCCTATTTGTGAATCTAAACAAACTGAAGACGAATCTCGCTTTCTTATATATTGCAATAAATACTCTATTCTAAGAAAAAAAATTTATACTGAAAAATAGAACATATCATTCCAACTCTTAAAGAATTATCTTCATTACAAGCCATTGGCGAACTTATGACTTCTTCATATCATTATATTAATATCAGGAACCATAATCGAGGACGGGTCCCCGATTATGGCTCCTGATTAATATTCAAGTAGCAAAATTTAGTTCATCTTACTTTGATCTGCGCAATATACTTTCAATCTACTTTCTACTTTTTGATCTACTTTCAAATCAAACCAATGTAACTTGATTGCTATATCATAACATTATTATATGATCAGGATAATCGTTACTGTTTTAGTTTTAGTTTTAGTTTACAAAAGCTTTCGCAACACTGTATGTATTTATAGTCATGCTAGTTGTTGTTGTTGTTTGGCGAGGTCCACGACCTTGCAAATAAAGAACGAGAACAAAATTCCCTAATACGGACCGAACAATGAAGTATTTATTGGCTCTTTTTAAAACTCATCTGTTAAATAAATGCCTTCCTGTGAGCCATTCCTGCTAAACGTAGGCGCAAAGGTTAAGTAATTATTTCCTGGTTTCTCAAGGGTTACTTTCGTGAAAGGGAAACTCAAAATGTGCGCCAAACATGGAGAAAAAAGATTTCTACTTAACAATAAACTGCTTTCTTGTGTGCAATGTTTTGAAAGAAAAAAAAAACAACAACAACAACAACAAAAAAACATGGCACACAATTTGTTTACCTCTTCTTTTAGGGCTTTCATTTCACGGACCAGATTGGGAACCTCCGTGACCATTTTTTCGGCCAGTAAAGATATCATGGTGGCCATTAGTCGATCAATGCCACACACATGTTGGATATCACTGTACTGTGGGTGATTCGCGAACCACTCTTTCTCCTTTATACGGGTCATTTCAGCGTCCCAGTCCTTTTCTTTCGGATCTGTACCATCTTTGCCTGGTTTGTTGAGGGTAAAAAAAGAAACTAATTAACTTCTACCTGTGGTATCGAGTTAAAGATTTGTATACAAAACACTCAGCTGGAGGCACAGTGGCCTCATGGTTAGTGCCCTCGTCTCTGGATCAAGAAATCCGGGTTCGAACCCTGGCCGGGGACACTGTGTTGTGTTCTTGAGCATGGCACTTTCAAGTCAAGTCAAGTCAAGTCAAAG